TTATTTATTCTGTAATTAAACAAAGGCACTAACTTTTTAGATACACGTGTATTTTTATTGTTTAAATTGGCGTTATGAAGTTTTTTAAAAAATTATTTTTAATTTTAAATTAATAAAGAGTATTTTTATTTTTGTTAAAATTGTGTTTACCCTTAAATTACTTCTAAATATTTATGCTTTTTAAGCATAAATATGTATAATTAAAAACAAATCTTTAATATAAAATATGAAGTACACTTATAAAATTAATGAATCTATATAAAAAAACAATATAAATTTTGTACACAAACCAAACGTAAAGTTGAAAATATATTACAACAGCATATAAAATTTAAAATATAATGTTTAATTAATACATCTTTTATATAAAGAAATAAAAAAAAAAAACAAAAATTCAAAAAATTTGCATACAATTATTAATTTTATGTTTATTAATTTAATAATTTAAAAATAAAATAATTCAAAAAGAGAAAAATTAAAGTATTGCTTTTTTTACTTAAAAAGGTAAATAAATTTAGTATATTGCTATATGGATCACTTCAATCAAAAAACTAGTCATAGTCGTTGTCGTGAAAAAGCTTAAAATGTCAAAAATACACAAAAAGTAATATGGTATAACAGGTATCATATTCTTAGAATTTACATTGAGTCTCTATTTAACTATGTATCTTTTTCTTTTTCAGAACACCTATCAAGATCGAGACTTATGGGTGATCCGAAATTCCAGCAAGTGATGATATTAAGTTACTTTGCAAACGAAAGAACTCACTTTATCGAAATTTCAATTTAATATGTGATATCACTAATTATAATGAATTGTGGTTGACAAGAAACTATAGTATATTTAAAAAAATAAATTAAAACAGTAAAAATAAAAGAAATTAAAATATATCCGTTAAAATAACAATATATTACAAGTGAAACTAATGAGGAAGTATTTAATATGACAATTTCCAATTTCTTGGTAAGTAGGTTATTAACAATAAATTAGAATTATTTGGAATAACAGTTGACGTCTAAAATACGAATACTCAATTTAAGAAATGTTCAATTTAACTAACAACAAAGTCTTGTCTTAATCCATAATTCATTATATAAAATGAATCCATAATCATTATTTAGAATGAATCCATAATTCATTATGTAGAATGACTCCATAATTCATGTAAAATGAATTCATAATTCATTATGTAGAATGAACTCATAATTTATTTTATAAAATGAATACATATTATATTATGTAGAATGAATGCATAATTTATTATGTAGAATGAATCCACAATTTATTAAATAAAATGAATAATTCATTATTATATAGAATGATTTCGTAATTCATTATATAGAATGGATTCATAATTCATTATATAGAGTGAATTCATAATTCATTATATAGAATAAATTTATAATTCATTATTTAAAATAAATTCATAACTCTTTACATAGAATGAATTCATAATTTATTATGTAAAATGAATCCATAATATATTATGTAGAATGAATGCATAATTTATTATGTAGAATGAATCAACAATTCATTAAATAGAATAAAGAATTGATTATATAGAATGATTTCGTAATTCATTATATAGAATGAATTCATAATTCATTATATAGAATGATTTCGTAATTTATTATATAGAATGGATTCATAATTCATTATATAGAGTGAATTCATAATTCATTATATAAAATAAATTTATAATTCATTATTTAGAATAAATTCATAACTCTTTACATAGAATGAATTCATAATTCATTATGTAAAATGAATCCATAATATATTATGTAGAATAAATGCATAATTTATTATGTAGAATGAATCAACAATTCATTAAAAAGAATGAAGAATTGATTATATAGAATGATTTCGTAATTCATTATATAGAATGAATTCATAATTCATTATATAGAATGAATTCATAATTCATTATATAGAATGAATTCATAATTCATTATATAGAATAAATTCATAATTCATTATATAGAATAAATTTATAATATCCATAATTCATTCTGTAATATATTATGCAGAATGAATCAACAATTCATTAAATAGATTGAATAATTAATTATATAGAATGATTTCGTAATTCATTATATAGAATGAATTCATAATTCATTATATAGAATGAATTCATAATTCATTATATAGAATGAATTCATAATTCATTATATAGAATGAATTCATAATTCATTATATAGAATAAATTCATAACATATTACATAGAATGAATTCATAATTCATTATGTAAAATGAATCCATAATATATTATGTAGAATGAATGCATAATTTATTATGTAGAATGAATCAACAATTCATTAAATAGATTGAATAATTGATTATATAGAATGATTTCGTAATTTATTATATAGAATGAATTCATAATTCATTATATAGAATGAATTCATAATTCATTATATAGAATGAATTCATAATTCATTATATAGAATAAATTCATAACATATTACATAGAATGAATTCATAATTCATTATGTAAAATGAATCCATAATATATTATGTAGAATGAATGCATAATTTATTATGTAGAATGAATCAACAATTCATTAAATAGATTGAATAATTGATTATATAGAATGATTTCGTAATTTATTATATAGAATGAATTCATAATTCATTATATAGAATGAATTCATAATTCATTATATAGAATGAATTCATAATTCATTATATGGAATGAATTCATAATTCACTATATAGAATGAATTCAACTATATAGAATGAATTCATAATTCATTATATAGAATGAATTCATAATTCATTATATAGAATGAATTCATAATTCATTATATAGAATAAATTCATAACTTATTACATAGAATGAATTCATAATGTAGAATAGTCAATTGTTTTTCGAAAGGTGTAGAAAAATAAAACTCGTGCGAAAAAATATATATAAATATATATAAGTCGCTATATAAGATATATTGCCTATATGTATTTAATATAAATTTATATCGTTATTGATTTGTGGTTCTATCTCGTTGAGGTGGGAAGATTTCTTTACCTAGACTCGGTTCAACATAGAATATTCATAGCTATCTCTCTCATTACAATTAAATAAATAAAACGTTTACGAAGAGAACTTTAACATATTTTTAGGCCAAAATTAATCCGCTAGATTCATATTATCCGTAGTTTCGGTTATGTTTATCAAATTCGTGGTTCACATTTGTACTTAAAGATTAGGTTTTTATAAATCGAGAGAACAAACGATGTTATTCTTTTTAACTAGCTATTTATTCAAAAAGAGTACGTTTAAAATGTGATTTTAAAAAATCATGGTGTGAGATAAATTAATTTAAATCCCAATTTAATGTCCTATTATTATGTCCTAATAATATTAATATTTTGATACTAAGATTTTTTATAAAATAGAATATAATATTGAATATAATTGTAAAAGTTGTATACATATATGACATTATAGTGAAGAAGTTTTTATCCACAAGTATTTATTTTTAATTAAGTACATTTTTGGGCTGATCCAAAAGCTCTTTTAATTATTGCTCACAACTTATCATCAGTTGTATTTGGAAATATATAAAATTCTATATATAATATTTGCACTGCAAGTATCAGGAATTGAAGCTACCCAAATTAGAATCGTGAATTCTCGTCCTACCTATCACACAAAGCATTTATTTGATGTCTACATTTTATACTAAAGAGTCTGTACAAAAGATCTTACAGGTCGCAATCCATGCGCAGCCAACCTATCCATAATAATAATAATATACTAAAGAGATCCTCTCTGATTTCAAGCGAAGTTTCTAAAATAATCTACTACTGTAAAATAGCTTTGGTGGTATTTATAATCACCCATATACATTCTAGGCAATGTATATGTCTTGTAAATTCTTTCATGTTATCTGCTTTTAGGTCTCAGGTTACCACTACAACAATCTAGTACTACTTTTGTCTATAAACCATAGACTTCTAATAAATGGTGAGTTCCGCATAACTTATAACGCTTTAAGCACCATACGAGCTAGTCTTATATATGTAAGAGAAGCCCTAATCCAGAGCAAGACTAACCAAGCCTCTTCTAGTGGCTTGCACCAGACCCTGTATACCGTTATTGTTTTTACACATGGCAATCTTATTTTTTATAGGAGCGGTCAATCTCATACGTTATATTACAAACATTTGAAAAAAAAACAGAGTTGTTCATAGTTGACAATACACAAAATTAGTTTTTATTTTTATTACAATTTGTTCACATTTTAATATATATATATATAATTTAATTAAGGTTATACAAAATATTTTTGAAAAATTACATACAAAGTTATATATTTGTTTTTTGTCATAATATTTAAATTGAATATTATATTTATTACAATTTCTTATAAACTTCTTTGAAAAATGTTGCTTTATTGTTTGTATTTTGTAAGTAAAAAAATTAAATGATTTCCGCTATATAAAAACTAATTGTAATATAGAAATATATATATATAATTTTTTTACATATATTTGTGTAAAGCAAAATTTTTTAAATATTTATAACATATATGCATGAATTGATTTAGTGATATAGATTATAATTATAGAAAACACATTAAGCATATATAATAAAACACATAATATAATATAAAATAGTTTGCAAAATATATAAAATTTATATGAAATTAAAAACAGAATAATATAATTATTTTAATAAATTTACTTAAATTTCCTTTAAAAATTTATTAATTTAACTAAATTTTTTTTACTCAAGTGAAGTAAATATTTTAATAGAAAACATAATCTTCTGGTTGTTATTTTTTTATATAGAAAATTATTTTGAAAAACTTTATTTTCTTATAAATTTGGTTTGTTTATTTAAAAATAAATGCGCATTCTTGTTCGTTATAAGTTTTTAGTTATATTTATTTAGAAATTTATATATATTTTCTTTTTATATTGCAGATACATAAATTAAAATATTACCACAATGGACAGTTTATAGAGTTAGTATTAAATTTTTATGGCATTTGTTATTTGTTCGAGAAATAGAGCAGAGCATTCGGGTAAGTTTAAGAGGGGTACTTGGTTATGGTGTCAGTATAAATAATAATATTATTTGATTAATATTATTTTGTTAAAATTTGATAAACAATTTTTAAAAGTTTAAAATTAGTACAGAAATGCTTATATATTCAAAACATTCGTTTTATATTTCTTTTAGTATATATATATATATTTATCAAATAAGAAACTAAAAATTATAGAAATAGTAAAAGAAAAATATACTCTAGTTTCATTAATTAAATAAAACTGTGGACGTGTAAATGTTAAATATTTACTCTAGTTTTCAGAAATTAAATAAAACTATGGACGTATAAATATTAAAGATTCAAAAAACATATAGTGTGACAAAAATTCATTTCTGTACCTTTTTTGAACTATAGAACAATTAAAAGTCTACGTAAAATATCTATGCATTAAATATCTTGTTTGGCTTATATATATATATATATAGTATATATAAATTTTAAAATATTTAAAAAAACTAAAAGCATATAACTATACTAGGAGCTGTACAGTACAGATACAAATTCCAAATGCCATACTAAATAATTTTGCAGATTAAAAGATATAGTACAATAGAACGAAATTAAAAGCGTAAAAGAAGTGTAAAATGGTTTTGTTGAGATTCATATAAATTTCCGAGTACGTTTTACTATCAATCGTCTGACGATTATAATATATAAAAAATATTATTAACAATGTAAAAAAAGCTTATGTGACAGTAAAGTTGTTTAACAGAACTCTGTATACATTTAATTAAAGACCTGTTACTAGCTTTAGTAGTTATAGAGGCAATAGAGCTATTTAATAATCGCTGATTTTTTATAAATTATTTTTATATAAGCAACAAAAGTATCGCTTGAAAAGTTATCGATAAAAGTTATCGAAGAATGATATTCACTAAAAATTCGTGCATCTAAAGTCAATATTAAAATATACTTCAAAACTTTATTTTTTTCTTGTTAAATAAATTTTTAATATCCAAAATTTTATCGATAATAAATCGATTGTTTTTATTGATTTCATAAAAATTTTTACAGTTTTATTTTTATTTAATTATATGTAAACGACATCTAGAAAGATTTTGATTACAAATCGAAACTTGTTCGAGAATTTCATTTTATATTATTTTTTTTTGTGATTGTAATTGTTTAGCAAATATTTTTGTAGTTCCAACCAAGTAACTTTGTTATATATTATTCAAATAAAATATTTATTAAATATACAATGAAAATCGTTCCAAATTAAATGCAATATTGTACTAAAAGCTTTTAATATGCAGTTTTATTCTAACATAATAATTAACTTCGCAATATCAAATGATATTTTAAAATTGAATTTAATATTTTTATGCAATATAGTTTTTAAATTTTTTTTAAGTATAAAAAAGGCCACAAAATGCGTTTTGAAAAATTTTGTTTTTGTTGAAATTTTTATAAAAATATATACTTTAATTTATGTATAGATGAAAGTATTTACGTCCACTTAAAGCAGCCTATATGATTAACAACAATTCTAATGTAATTACACAATAACACAATAATCGACAATGTTTTTTAAATGAAATTAATTTTTATAATATCATATCATATATATAATAATATATAATATGATATAATCGATTAATAAGCGATAAAATATAATAAATCGACTAAACTTCAAAAAGTAATAAAAAATATTATTCTAAAAATTTAAAACTATACAGGTTTTATAACAAATGTAATATTCCGAAAAGTTCAGTACCTCTTTAAAAAATAGCAACGTGGATATTAAAAGGTCGCATTAGAAAAACTGTACGATTCGATTACTTTTATAGATAATTCCATTTGGAATTTATTAAAGAAATATTGATGTTAATGTTAGTCATTTATAATATTAGTCGATGGTATTAATCGATATTAATTTGACAGATAAATCACAAATATATCTATTGGTGATATTAGTTGTGCTATAATATGAAACAAAGAAGCATGATTGTATTTTTGAATTGAATATTTCTATCGATATTAAAAATATTTCACGTAAACTCAAAAAGGTCTCAAGAATAAACCCCAGCGATGAGAAAGTATAAATATATTACGAAAGTAAAATAAACTATTTAAATCACGTCACGAAAATTTTGTGTCATTAGTTTACATAAAAAATATTCTAAGTTGAATTGAGTTATTTTTAATCGGTGTTAAGCGATATTAATCAAAATTATTCTATATTGGTCGACATTAACCGATAATAATAGCTATCGATAACTGCTAGTAATCGATTTTAATCGATATTAACTGATGGTAATCGATATCATTTTATGTTAATCGATGTTAAATATATATCATTTTATGTTAATCGATGTTAAATATATATCATTTTATGTTAATCGATATTAATTGATGTTAAACGATATTAATTAGTATTAATCGATATTATCGAGATCAAGCAACATCAGTCGTAGCTTTTAGTTGTTATATGATTTTGATCGATATGAAACTACAAGAATGTTTTGTCTCATAATAACATTATTATTTAACATTTACAATATTATAAAATGAAGTAAAAAATTGCACTAAGTGTTTGTTTTACTAGCACCTTTATAACAAATATTATACATGAGTATTATATGTACTTCATTTAAAGATGTCAAATTATTTTGACTAAGTAATCACGTCATTACGTATTTTCAGACTATTTAGGGATTGTTTTACTTAACATCTAAAATATTTATTATAAATTATTGAATATTATGACAATTGGCTAGTTTCGTAACATTTTGGCAGTATAAATATTTTAATTATTTAAAAATTCGATCATATCAATATAAGTCTAACTAAAATGCGAAGAAATGACACAAAATTTTCGAGAACAGTACGTCGTGGGTGTGGGTGTGGGTGTACATACCTTCTCAACTGCTTTTTAAACTAGTTTTTTTTTTTTTTAGATTTTATTAAAAATAAAAATTTTGAAAAGTTAGTATCTTTTATGGGTGGCTGTGTTTAGTAATTACTATTTAGTTTTTCTTTTTATTTTTTTTTCTTCTCTAAATTCAATAATAAATCATTTTCTACTTTTCTTCTTGTATAATTTGTTGCTTTACATACATTTGACCGTGCTTTATGGAAGAGTTGTCTCATAAAGTTAAGTGTGTTTTTTTTTCAATTATTTATAAATTTTTATATATTAAAGAACTACATTCTTTGTTTTACTTAATTTGTGTTTTTTTTTATTTATTGTTTTTTTTTTTTTGCAATTTCTGTCGTTGTTCTTGACTTGATTTTTAAGTTCTTGCTTTGTCATTTAAAAACAAAACGCATTTCTGTTACCTGCTCTTTTTAAGTATTTATTTTGCTTACTTCCCTTCTTTCATTTTTCTTTTGATAAGGTTCTTTTATTCTTTTATTTTATTTTTGATTTTACGATTTTGTTTTCTACTGAATATTTTGTTTACATTTTCCATTAATTTCCATTGTCCATTCTGTGGTTGTTATGTCAATTTGCCATTGTCACGTTGCCTTTCTGTAAATATGCATTTATTGGTAAATCTCACGCTTTGGCTCCGGGTATTTTGGCTAGCACCTTCGATAAATCAACACCAGTTAATGCATTTATTGAAGGTGGCAATTGTGCTACCAGACGTGTGACGTCATTGGTAACATTATCGTTGCCTCCAATAAGCACGATTTCTTCCGTTTTAGCTAATGGTGCAGCTACTTCAGCAGCAATCTATAGACAAAATAAAAAAAGACCATAATTGAGATAAGAAAAATTTGTCAACATTTTTATCTAATATAGAATAAAGTAGTACTAAAGAAAATAGTTTTTTTTTATACCAGATAGGTATAAATATGTTTTATAGAAAGATATAAAATCGGCTAATTGGATCGTTTTATAATTAATACATCAATTTTTGGTCACAAAAATAAGCAATATTTTGAAGAAGATAATAAGTAGGTAGAAATATAATGCAAAAATAATTGTAAACAATTATGTACTCAATTGATAATTAAATGAATAATAAGGAAAACTAGAAATAGAAGCTTTCCCAGTCGTACAACAAGTGGAATTCTAAACTAATTTCATAAAAGAACATAGATTTATGCGTTGTTCAACAATTTATGGTGTTTGGATTAATTCACATAAAGCTTTGGTTATTTTATCACGGTCATCCTATTGATCCTTAAGGTCCATTAAATAACTATATAAATCTTGAAGTCTTTTAAAATATTTCGAATATTTAATGAAACCTAAGATGTTTTTCAAGGGCGAGTCTTTGCAATTGTCAAAGATACTATAGTAAATAATTTTCTAAAATGTTTAATCAACATTGCTCATGCGTTGAACAATGACGAAACAGATGTCAAGAACATTTTTTCATTTTTCCCATACCTGCGGAAAGAGTCATTGAAGGAAATATTCAATCATGATCAAAATATTATAACCGTCAGTAAAATATAAATAATCTCAAGATAAAACTGATACCTTCGCTGGGCTACTTAGTAAGATCGCTAACTTTTTACTATTTACTTCCATATAATGCCCTAATTGCATGTATTCTCATTGGCTTATATTTTAGTCAACAATGATGATACCACTTTAAATGTCACAGCAATCTTTTTAAATATTTCTGTAATTCTAGTATTAGGCTTTTAAAATTTTCTCTACCTTAAGAGTACACGTAATTAGAATATATAGAAGAAGAATATATAAAAGCCAAGTTTACTTTCATCTTAACTTGTGACATGCCAATTTGTATCTTAGCGGTATTATACATAAAATGTTATATAAAAATTGAATGACTTCTAAATATATACCATAAACAAAAACTTACCTTTGGTAATGATTCTAGAACAATATTCATAATGGCAGCATCTCCATATTGTTTATAAACATGGGCTTTCATACGCATACGCTCAGCTTCAGCTTTACCAACCAACTCAATGGCGTGGGCCTCAGCTGCACCAATTTTACGTATTTTCTCAGCTTCAGCACGAGCAGTTTCAATTGTTTGACATCTATAACAGACAAAAAAATGTATTTTAAATATATTTTTAAGTTAAATCAGGATAAGCAAACTACTTTATATATGAGAAAAGTGTCAGGGATGTTAATAATTATTTATAAATAAGTTGTCAAATAAAGTTGATATACAAAATCTGATGATTGTTAAGAAAAAAGCAAAGTATTCTTCTTTCTTAGAAAAAGTATATTTTATCTTGTTCCTTGTTAGTATTGTATCTTCCTCTCCAAACAGTGATACTCATTGCTTTAAAATCCTCTACTATGTTATAGTCGATGATATCGATCATCGTGTCCTTTCCTTATCTCTAACTCTCTGGACAATTACTGTCATGCGTTTGTTTTGCTTTTTACTTTGAAATGGCATTTAAACGATGTCATTTTATTCTATTTTGCCTCTCTGTTATATGTTGGACTTGTTGTATCAGATTCGCTAAGAGATATCGTTTAATAGCACTGGTCTAATTATTTTTCGGACTGTTTTTTTGCTCATATTCCAGTAACTGGTCTTTTTTCATTTAGTTTGTTATTAAACATTCTTAAATAGCGCAAAGTTGTTATTAATAGATCTGGTCATTAGTATTAACATATGTAGTTTGTTTTGAATACTTTTATTTCCACACACACAAGTGAAACTTCAGTAGTGAACTTTTTGAGGTTCTATATTATGTTGAGGCTAGTTGAGTCAGTGCACCTGAGCACTTTTACTCTCTATTGACTGCAAAGTTTCTTCAAAACCCCTTTTTGCGTCTTGACTAGATTATTGTTTATCACTTCATTAGACTTAGCAATAATTGACCTAACATCTGGATACCTCCCCGAGGAGCCTGTAACCATTCTGAGATTGGATAACGCGGTGTTGTAAGTCTATATCTAAATATAAGTTACCCTATCGGGACTGAATATTGTAAATGATTAATAATTAGAAAAAACTCCTATTGTTGTTTGTTTTGTTGTTTGTCATTTTATCTTGTCTTGTTTAATGACCATAACTCGTTATATTCTTAACATAACTTTAACTAGTAGCCATTAGAAAAGACAAGGCATTGATAGTTTTGTAAACTCGTCTTGCACAGTGGCCATGATCGTTAATTTCCTTAGTGTCATTTTAACTAGTATAATCAGGTCGTGTGGTATACTACTATTCAAAAGAGTATATTCAATTTTAGTTCGATGTTGTTGGTAGTCTATAAATAAGTAGTGGCCGTATATGTTTTATTCGTATAGCTTTTTTAAAATTTATTCAGTACATTTAAATTAATTGGTATATTATATGTTATACTAGGACTGTCAAAAGGATCTGGTAAAACTAAAAAAATGAAGATTTGCAGAATATGACCTATCAGTTTTATAATATATACAAGTATGTCGAAATAGTGATAATTTTAAGGGTACATTTTAAAGAATTAAGGCAGCAGGGTTTTTTAAATTTTTTTTTGTTTTTTCTTTTAAAAAAATCTTTTTTCTAATAAATTCATTTAAATTGGTTTAATAAAAATGTTTAAAATTTTGACTTACTGTTTGCCCTGCGCAATGGTTTGTACACGAAAAGATTCTGCTTCTGCTGGCAATTTGATAGTTGCCATCAATTCACGGTCTTTACGTTGTACTTCTTGAGATTCGATTTCGATTTGTTTACGTCGTTCAACCACTTCGATTTGTATTTCTTCGTTACGTATTCTCTGGCGAATTTTCGCTGCTTGCAGTTCGTACGCCAATTGTGCCTCTGCCTTGGCTGTATTGATTTCCTGATCGAAATTGGCCTTTTGCAATTTGAACATACGCGTGTTATCTTCAATTTTTGTATCTGTAGAATATTTAACATCCATGGCACTCTTTTCACATTCTGCCTCGCGTATGCCTGCATCACGATTGGCTTCGGCAACGCCGGCGTCCGCATCGCGTTTAACAATCGCGGTTTGTGTTTTGCCAAGTGAGGCCAAATATTGAACGTGATCGTAGACGTCCTTGATGGTAAAGGACAGTATCTCGATGCCCATACGACCAACATCAGGAGCTGCTACTTCGCGTACTAAGGCTGCGAATTGGTCGCGATCTTTGTACACTTCTTCGACTGTAAGAGTTCCTGTAATGATAAAAGAAAAAAAAATATCTTAGTAAATATCTAGAAATATTTTTCTTAATTAGTACTAAATATAGTCAAATTAAGAGAAGTATGGAAACATTTTGGAAAGATGGATAACATGACAACTCCTCAAATGATTTTTTTTTAAGCTTGTCTAAAATATATGTTAGCACTATTGCAATGCTGTGCTTAAATTACTAATTTTTCTTATAAAAATAATGATATTTATCTACGCGATATAAAGTTAGAATAGCGAGAGGAAAAGGAAGATCAAGAAAGAGATAGAGTGATAGTGTTCGACAAGATCTGAGAGATATGAATGGTCAACTGGAAGATAAAAGCCAAAAATGGAGAAGTATGGAGGAATGTTGTAAAACATCCTTAAGTCCTACATGAATTATATAGTTATGGATGATGATGCGATAAAAAGGACCCATAATATAATTCTCACAGCCTTTATACAATGAAAAGAACGCTGTGATTTCCCTTTCATTTCCTCTACTCTAATGTTATGGAATAATTAACCGATTAGCGGTGGGAACTTTTCTATTAAATGATGTTCTTTGTAATGGTACTATATAGGTTTTATTTTTCACAATTTTTTGTTTGCTTTTTACCTGGTAATAACCACATAAGTTACTCCGATTATCATTGATATTTTGAAAGCACCCATCCATAGTAGCGACATTTTGTTAATTTAATTAATATATTTTTTATAAAATTTATAAAAATGTTCTTTATTAACGAATTTTAGAGTTATTATTTTAATTGTTTTTTATTTTCTAAAGTATCACTTTATTAAACGAACAATTTAAAATTAATTTTTGCTGTTATTTTTCTATATATAGTTTTTTTTTTAATATTACACTGTGTATGCTTTTCAGCTAATTGATCTATTCACTTCAATTAAAAGTCACAAAAATTCTCAAATTTATAATTTTCTTTATTATATATATAACGAAAAAAAGTCTTGTATTCCTCGGTAACTTATCAAAACCTTAAGAGATCATAGTACTATGTTTTAAACTGATAATTTTTCAAATTAATTTCAATTTGTTGTGTTTTTTTGCTAACTTTTTTACTATCTGACGTCATTGCAGTAAAAATCATTCCTGTTATTATGTGCTTTCAGAGGCAAAGCACAATAAATAACGTCTTAAAATTTCAATTTCAGACTCAATTGAATGACGACAAAGATAATCACAATGCTCAGAAAGCGCTGCTACTTAATTTTGATTAGAAAATGTAGGTGATAAGATTACAGAGGTGTTGTTAGGGGAGTATATGAGTAAGTGAAAACTAAAAATTGTTTTAAAATATAATGAATGGGGTCATGGGCGTAGTCAATGGGACGTATGTGTTGGTGATCCACTAAAACTGTGCTTAAAGTATATCTCATATTGAAAAGAGGTTTACCATGGGGCTTGATGTTGGTTCAATGCTATGATCAAGTATGTTTTTAAGCCTTAAAAGATATGCTATTACATTTCTGTGGTTGAGTACCGTTTTTTATGCTTTACATTTCAGATATCTTGATATCTTGAACAATATCTTTAATCCACTTTGTTTGGATTTCTTGATTTGTTACTTAATGATATATTTTGTTTTGATTTCGCTATATGATGTCTCGATATGATTGCTTCCGATAGCTCCAAAACTATATACCATACATTCAAATTGGTTTGAAGACAGACAAACTCTTTTTTTGAGAATGTTATTCAATTAACCTATAATATATTTGACAAAATTTATGCGCAATCTGTTCAGATTTCTGTTGGGCATGATGCTCTCAGTTAAGTCTAATTTCTAGATATAAACCAAGGAATTGAATTTGTGGGAACTTGTATTCTATTTAGATAAATAATATGTTGTTGTTTGAATGGTGCAATATAACATATATAGATTTTGACTCATTAAATTTTATATTCTAGTCAGTAGTCCAACGGCTGTTGAAGTTAAGTGACGCCTAAAGATTATTTACAGGTGCTTCTCGGGTATATACAGATGCCAGTACTTCTAAGAAACCCGTTTGAGATGAGGATATGACAAACGTTTCTTTTGTTGTGAACATAACTGCTATATATAGCAGATGGGGAATAGGGCCTACAGCCTGTTCCAGGGAACTCCAATTCTGATAGTAAAGATGTTTGAATGTTCTTCTTTGTGTGTTACTCTGAATGTTCTTTCTGACAAATTGATGGTGTAATACCATCTATTGATAGAATTGAAAGAAGATGCAGCACTGAAAGAGTCCTATGCGTATCATAAACTCCTTGAAGTTCAAAAGTTACGTACAAAATCTTTGAACGATCGACAGTTAAGTATGGGTGTGAAAATTTGACTCTCAAGGTAATAATTTGGTTCTGGATATTCGTAAAGAAAGTAAAGTCAAAAATATTTGGACCAGCTAGTTTAGATATATGCACCTATAGTCATATATATAATGACGATACGATGTATAATTGATAATGAATAATTTATAATATTAATATTAATATTATAATATTGATAATGTATAATATAATTGATATAATGTCGAGATTGAGTTGCTAATGGACGAGAATCCGTTTTATAAAATTTAAAATGCCATAGCGCCCATCCATAGTAGCGACATTGGGAAAATCATTAAAGTGCATCCGAGATGGATTGATTGCAGCGAACAGAGAAACATAGATAAATAAAATATTGTGAGTAAAGCTTCGAAAGGAGAAAAGTGAATCTGTTTGACTATATACAGATAGTATATTGATTTTGAATAATTATATTTTTAAATGCAATCGTATGTAATAAAATTTATTGACATAAGTTCAGTTATTCTGGTAAATCGCATTTAATATTGATGGGCTTTTATTTGATGTTATTTTAAGGAGTGTCTTCTTTGACATCATGTATTTCAGTAAATATTGAAAACGGGTATCTCTTTTTTTTCTTTGTCTCTTAGAGCAAGAAACTAAATAGAATTCTAGGCTTCGCCAAAGGTTTTAAACCCTGAACCTAGAGCAAGAAATCATTTATCTAAGTTAATGGAATTTAAATCAAAGTATATAACACAATATTTTTAACATTGTTTTATTGTATTAAATATTTAAGTTGATTGTATTTAAATTATTTTAATTTTATAGTTTAATACAATTTGAATACTGTAAACAATGTTTAGCATTTAAATCATTAGCAAACATTTAATTTTCAAACATGTTCCCTTTTATTTTGCAATAAAATCAGTTCAGCAATAAATTAAAATATTTTTACGATCTAAAAACTTACACATGTTGATGAGAATATCAAATCAAAGTCTTTGCTAAGTTGATGATAAAATCCATTAAAAGTTTAATTAATTAAAATAATTTGTCTAAAATTTGAAACCCTAAACTTAATATGTAACATTTTGTAGTGTTAAATAGTAAGTTTTAACGTTTTCATCAAGAGACCTTAAATTAAGCAACGAAAACTATTTGAAAGTTAGTACTCGTAGGTTTGAACTTCAAATACTTTAGTTGAGTAAAGAGCAAGGGATTATTACCACGTTTTACCAACAAATTACTGAACATAAATTGGAAAGAACTTGATGTTGTTCATATGATATTTTCGGAAAATACCAAAAATTGCCAAAAGTTTTAAGTGAGGTTTATTGTCTTCAAAGGCTCAAAAGTGTGCACACAATAAATTATCTTAAGAGCACTTAACGATTTGAAAAAAGCATATAAACTTTGTTATGAGAAAATTTAGATTTTATTTTAAATAATGTTTACTTTAAAATATAATATTAAATTAAATCATTTACAATTTTTTTCTATGGCTTCTGAGTATATTTAAAAAGACTAGTTAACTCTATTTAAATAAAAATGTTCTGAAAATGTTCTAATAAAGAAATAAAGTAATAAATAATGTGTAATAAAAAAAAATTTTCTAATATAATAACAGCTTCTTTTTGAATACTGAATTTTAATATTAATTTTATTAAATTTCATTCTACGTCAGCTATGATGGTAGTGACTGTTTCACCTAATAGAAACTATTGTATTTAATAGTGAGGTTTCGAACAGTAGTGAATTGTAACAACAAAATTTTTTATTTATTTTCAATTAATTGAATTTTTGACTAACAATACAGCTGTTTCGAGTATGGCCAAATATCAATCATCGGTGGGTTTAGAATTATTTCTTATATTTAATTATTCGTAGATAATTTTTAAAGACTGCAAATACCAAGGATTAAATTCCTGCCCTCCTGTTTGACTAACAATACAGCTGTTTCGAGTATGGCCAAATATCAATCATCGGTGGGTTTGGAATTATTTCTTATATTTAATTATTCGTAGATAATTTTTAAAGACTGCAAATACCAAGGATTAAATTCCTGCCCTGCCAAATTTGAAGCTTAGAGTCAGTGTTCATTAACCAACTGACCCTAAGCCGAACTTGACTTGTATGTTTAAACTACATACTAGTAATTTTGTTAATTGGAGTTTTGTTAATTTGTCGTGAAAGTTCATTAACAAATTCACTTACTGTGTTATATTAGAACGAAATTATAAACTAGCTGTGGAATAATTGAATTAATTAATTATAGTTATTTTTGTATAAATTTTATTATTATTATATTTTATTTTCTTATATTATTTTTATATAAAAATAACCAATATAATTAAATATTCATGCTAAATTTCTGTTCATAGTTATACGAAGTAGAGGAATTTTTATCATAACGTAAATTGAAATTCATTTTTTATCCTTTTAATTAATTTTTGCACCACTATCTATGCTTGCAAAGACATTTTGTAAGATGTATTTTAAAACATTTTAATTAGCAATTAACATTAACAACATCCCTTTCGCTGTTTATTATTTTATTTCACAAATGTTTTAGTGCAAATGTTATTGTGTCCTTTGTTTTAATACTTCTTACCCAAAATGACGTTGCTATTTTGTGAAATAATTTATCTTTTAGAATGCTTCACTCTTATTTTTGAAATGAAAATAAATGAAAGTAAAAATTTATAAAATTTTTATGAACAATAAATTTAAATTTAGTTTAATTTCTTTTTTATACATAATTTCTTATTATTAATTTCTTATTTAAATACATATTTTATTTCTTACATATTTTTATTATTTATTGTATAAATATAAAACAATTAAACAATATTAAAGTAAACAAATTCCTTCATATTATTTGCCGTTACTCATACGCAACGTAAGCCAACATTCTATATTTGTGGAATAATTTGTAAACACATTTACGTATACTATTTACTATTACTATTTACTTACTTATTATAGATTTACTATTTAAACCTTTTTAACATATAAATTTAAATTGCTATTGAAGAACTTTTTATGCTTTAAAACAGCGGTAAAGTCGACTTCATAACCTATGTAAATGATGAGAATAATAGGATTGCGTGGTATTAGAATTGCATTTCCTTGCGATTTTCCGTTCAGATTTGTTGCTTCAGTAATATAAGGTAGTTTGAAAAGTAAAGTTTTTTTCTTCAATTATTAACTCATATAGTTTGGTCCAATACTTTTTGCCATCTTTTTGGAATTAGCTTAATTCTACATTTATACAATTTTTGTTCTTTGTTGACAAACAACTTATTTAGATGATTTTTGAAATTCTCATTTGAAGCAAAGGTTCAACTGTCTAAAAAATTTGGCAAGAATCGGAATAAATGATATTCAAAAGTTACTACATTTTGAAAATATG